TCACCCTCCCGAGTAGCTGGGATTACAGGCATGTGCTACCACGCCTGGCTAATTTTTTTTTTTTTTTTTTTTTTTTTTTTAGACAGAGTCTCACTCTGTTGCCAGGCTAGAGTGCAGTGGTGCAATCTTGACTCACTGCAACCTCTGCTTCCCTGGTTCAAGCAATTCTCCTGCCTCAGTCTCCCAAGTAGCTGGGACTACAGGTGCTCGCTGGCTAGCCCAGCTAATTTTTTTTTTTAATATGTAAAGATCAATTTCCTCTTTAGTTTTACCAATCAGAATATTAAAATGCTACCTCAGTGTTTTAGATGAAATTTCCCATTTAAATATATGACACATAAGCCAAAATTTAGAAATAGCTCCTTGCATCGCTGTAGTTTTGGGTCTTTAAAAAAAAGTAAAGCCTGGCCGGGCGCGGTGGCTCAAGCCTGTAATCCCAGCACTTTGGGAGGCTGAGGCGGGTGGATCACGAGGTCAAGAGATCGACACCATCCTGGTCAACATGGTGAAACCCCGTCTCTACTAAAAATACTAAAAATTAGCTGGGCATGGTGGCGCGTGCCTGTAATCCCACCTACTCAGGAGGCCGAGGCAGGAGAATTGCCTGAACCCAGGAGGCGGAGGTTGTGGTGAGCCGAGATCATGCCATTGCACTCCAGCCTGGGTAACAAGAGCGAAACTCCGTCTCAAAAAAAAAAAAAAAAAAAGTAAAGCCTTAATTTTAAGTTTGAATATAATGTGCAGCTTATATAACATATATATATAACATACATATAATTATATTTTATATATTATGAAGTATTATCCTTATTGTGAACTTTATTATGCTTCTGAAGTTTCTCCAATCATTTCAAATTTACTTCGATAAAAAGTTCCTGGCCGGGTGTGGTGGCTCATGCCTGTTATCCAAGCAATTTGGAAGCCAAGGTGGGTGGATCACCTGAGGTTGGGAGTTCAAGACCAGCCTGACCAACGTGGTGAAACCCCGTCTTTAAAAAAAAAAAAAAAGGCCGGGCGCGGTGGCTCAAGCCTGTAATCCCAGCACTCTGGGAGGCTGAGGCTGGTGGATCACGAGGTCAGGAGATCGAGACCATCCTGGTCAACATGGTGAAACCCCGTCTCTACTAAAAATACCAAAAAATTAGCTGGGCATGGTGGCACGTGCCTGTCATCCCAGCTACTCAGGAGGCTGAGGCAGGAGAATTGCCTGAACCCAGGAGGCGGAGGTTGCGGTGAGCCGAGATCACGCCATTGCACTCCAGCCTGGGTAACAAGAGCGAAACTCCGTCTAAAAAAAAAAAAAAAAAAAAAAATTTGCCTATATTTTGCGAATTGCATTTTAAAATCAGAATGTTACAAATTTCCATCTATAAGAAAAACAAAATATTCATGCTTTATTAATAATCCTAATTAGAAAAGGATGCAATTAAGAGCTTACATAGCTAACAGAAACATAAGAAAGGTAAACTTTTCTTGAATAAAAAAATAGGAAATACTTTAATGAAAAAAATCAAGGACTGAAGGAAGGAGAAAATTTTCTAGACAGTAGTTGGTCCTTCACAATTTGTGTTATTATGCAAATACATCATTAAATAAATACTCATCTGATATTTACAAAATAGTGGTAAAAGAGAAACCTAAAGTATCAGCATCCTTCATTTGCTATCCCTCTTTCAATCTTCTGTATGCATTAGTTTACATACCAACTAAACGTGATACTAGTTAACTATAGTTGAAAGCTTGTCAATTAAGTCATCAGTAGTGTAAACAAGAAGTTGAATGTCTGCTTTTTCCTTTATTCGGTCACTGTGTTTTTCGAGGATGACATCCGCGTCTGTGCTGAGGACTCGGTGGATGCCAAGGCACATCATCCTTCCTGCCATGGAGCAATCTTAGAGGGCAGCTCACAGGGGCTGGGCTGTGTAACAAGCAGTGGTCTTCAGTTTCTTTAATTAAACTGTACTGAATGTGATAAACTCCTTCATGGTATTTTTTTTTTTTTGGAGACGGAGTTTCACTCTTGTTACCCAGGCTGGAGTGCAATGGTGCGATCTCGGCTCACCGCAACCTCCGCCTCCTGGGTTCAGGCAATTCTCCTGCCTCAGCCTCCTGAGTAGCTGGGATTACAGGCACGCGCCACCATGCCCAGCTAATTTTTAGTATTTTTAGTAGAGACGGGGTTTCACCATGTTGACCAGGATGGTGTCGATCTCTTGACCTCGTGATCCACCCGCCTCGGCCTCCCAAAGTGCTGGGATTACAGGCGTGAGCCACCGCGCCCGGCCCTTCATGGTATTTTGATGGCATGCTCCACACACCTTTTCTGCCTCAACAGGAAGCTGATTAAACTGTGTCACTAAGCCATCTGCAGGTGTAGCTACACCAATAAAAGCCATAACCTTTTCTGGTCGTGCAATTGCAGCATGAAGCATAAGCCACCACCCAAGGCTAGATCCAACATGAATCTGTGGCCCTTCAGCTAAGTCATCAATTATAGAAAGATCTTTTCTCCATTTCCCCAGCGTGCTTTCCTCCAGGTTACCATCTGAACTTCTCACTCCTGAGTAATCAAACCTTATGTAGGTGTGACCTAGAGATTTGCAAAACTCCTCCATCGCCAATGCTGTTGTACCATTCATATTAGAAATATAGCTAGGGATGAAGATAAAATTCCTGGACTTTAGCCTTTTAGCCTCTTATAAGCCTGGTTTGGAGGGTCTGGTCGATTAAGGAAAGAGAATGATGTCTTTTGCCTGCAAGTTGGTAGCCACCATGGCACCCACTGAGGCTTTGGTGCAAGCAGCGTGTTGAGGCCCCGGTAGGGACCAATGGGGACGGCTCCCCAGCTCCAGCTCCGAAAAGGTACCCAGGCCGCCACAGTGACCATGCGTGCAACCGCCATCTTCCCAGCTGTCCAATTTTTGCATTTTTAGTAGAGATGGGGTTTCACCATGTTAGCCAGGATGGTCTCGATCTCTGTGGAGGTTGCAGTGAGCTGAAGTTATGCCACTGCAGGCCAGGCTGCGTGACAGAGCAAGACTCATCTCAAAAACAAAAGCTGGCTGAGCTGCTGTGACTGTCTCATCTGCAACTCAAAATTTTAGTGTCACTTGTGAGAATTATTTTGGTACAAAAATAAAAGATGAAGCAACATACGATGTATAAGCCTCTGGCCAGCAGGCCATGCTGATCTTACCTAGGATTTTAACATAAGCAGAAAAACTGACAAGTTAAATTCACAATTGAGATTTGCCTTGTGAAGGTGTAAACCAGGACTTGGGAAAACTGAAAACAAGTATGTTCCCTTCTAGAAAGTGCTGTCAGTTTTGGGGTACATTACTTCAGTTTAGAGCCTTACCTTGGACACTGGTCATCTGTAGTAGGCTTGAGCGGATGCTTCAGACTTTACTCACTGTCCAGTTGGGCGAAGGGGTCTGTGCATTTGTCTTGTGTGGTTCAGCAATGAGGGCCTGTGAGGAATAGCCAGTGGGTGGCACAGAGAGGGGCTCCGCGTCCTGCACTCTCCACAGTGGCTCTGGCCTCGGGAGGAGAGCGAGCCCTGGGAGCTGGCTGAGGGCAGGGCCGGGTACTGCTTCCCAGACTGACTGTGCCCTGCAGAACCAGTACGTCTGACATGCGACACACACACAACGCGAAACATTATTTATCCTTACTCGGGGTGAGGCACATTAATTTCGATTTCATTTGAAAGAAAAGTACTGGCCAATGACCCACGAGCGGGTGGTCAGGAGCAGTGATCACACACGAAATTAGTGTGCCTCACCCCAAGTAAGGACAAATACTGTTTTGTGTTGTGTGTGTGTCGCATGTGAGATGTACCGGTACTGCAGGGCACAGTAATCCCAGCACTTTGGGAGGCTGAGGCGGGCGGATCACTTGAGGTTGGGAGTTCAAGACCAGCCTGGCAAACATGGAGAAACCCTGTCTCTACCAAGAACACAAAATTAGCCGGGCATGGTGGCACATGCCTGTAATCCCAGCCACTCAGGAGGCTGAAGCAGGAGAATCCTTGAACCCAGAAGGTGGAGGTTGTGGTGAGCCGAGATTGAGCCATTGCACTCCAGCCTGGGCAACAAGAGTGAAATTCTGTCTCTAAAGAAAAAAAAAAAACGCTGGACCATCAGGAGTTTGAGACCAGCATGGCCAACATGGTGGAACGCCATCTCTACTAAAAATACAAAATTTAGCTGGGCATGGTGGCACGAATCCATAATGCCAGCTACTCGGGAGGCTGAGGCAGGAGAATCACTTGAACCTAGGAGGCGGAGGTTACAGTGAGCTGAGATCATGCCATTACACTCCAGCCTGGGCGACAGACTTTGTCTCAAAAAACCAACAGCAACAAAAATCACTGGACCAGGGCTGCCCCAGGGCCAGCAGCGCCTGGGTGCTGCTTGTTGAAAATGCAGCTCTCTGGCTCCTCCATGCCACAACACATCAGGACCTGCCTGCAAAATGACCTGTCTGCACTTCAGGTTGAGAAGGCCTGGCCTAGAGGATGGTAGGTCTGGCCTGCTGTGCTGAGAGGCAGTGCTGGGAGCAATTCCTGGGGCCTCCTTGCTGACACTCTGGTGAAGCTAGTGTATTAGATCAGAGCATCTATGAGCCCCCATTGCCTCCTTGTTTCTCTGCCCGTAGTATAAGAATTTCTCTGAAATTACTGGATGAGTTTCAGTCATACTTTCACATGGGCACAATTTCACATTCAAGCTCCTTATCCAAAGCTAATTTTATATTATGTTAAATCACTTGTTTTTGTTCTCATGGCTTCCTGCCTGCTATAGGCGTAATTACGAGGAAGTAGCACTTCAGCAGCAAGCGCACATGCGTTCCAAAATAAGAGCAAATGCGCTCTAAACACAGGAAAAGACCTGAAGCTTTAATTAAGGAGTTAAATCCAATCCCAAAGCGCTTTTGTGGGCACTGATTGCTCCAGCTTCTGCGTCACCGCGTGAGGGAAGAGGATCCAGGCATTAGACATGTATAGACACAAAAACAGCTGGAGATTCAGCTTAAAAATACCCACCAAGCTCCAAAGAAGAGACCCAAGTCCCCAAAACATTGATTCAGGGCTGCCAGGAGGAAGAGCAGCAGCAGGGTGGGAGAGAAGCTCCGGTCAGCCCCCAAGATGCCACTGCCCCCTGGCCTGCTGCTGCTGCTGCTCTCTGGGGTCACAGCCACTGCAGCCCTGTCCCTGGAGGGCGGCCCCATCGGCCCAGACAGCGAGGTGAGTACAGACGCAACGTGGCCACACGCCCACTCTCTTGGGTTTTTGGCCTGCCTGGTGAGTGTGTGTGTGTGTGCCTGTGCTGGATTTCACAGCTTCGACAGGACACAGGGCTGAACTTCGTAGTGTTCTTGGCTGGCCCGAGGTACTGGGATGTCCCGTTCAGACTGCTGATCTTCGTATACCTTTCCCAACCCATGAAGCATGTTGGAAGCCTGCACAGCTCAAGGAGAGCCCTTCATGCCAGTGCCCCTCTCTGCTGGGCATCTGGGAAAGGTGAAACGAGTGTGCCAGTCCACTGAGGGCAGGCGTAGAGCTGCCACGGTCCTTGTTAGTCACCCGGACTTCCAGAGCCTTCGGCAGCACAGGCTCCCACTGGCTCAGAGTAATTGGCATCATTACATTTCTGTTGTGAGGATTTATAACTTCATGAGGTGATTGATTGCTCTTTTTTCCATTTTGAAAAAGTTCCAAGAAAGAGTATATAAAGGTGACCATTAAAAATGGATTTTTCTCCAAAATTACCAGATGAGTTTCAGACAGGTCATTTATCAGCAGATTATTCCCAAAAGCTTTCTAAGGAACTCGAAAAACCAGAATATAATGTTTCTGTCCCATCTGTCTCAGAAGGCGACTTGCGGACATCCAGGAGTGTGGCTGAAGGTGGGGAATGAGTACATTAGCCCGCTCCACCTCGGGGCTTCTTAGCTGCCAGTCACTTGGGGGAGGATGGCAGGTTTCCTGACCTCTTCTAATTAAGGACCTCAGCAGAGAGTATGGGGCAAAACCACCAGGTTTTTTTCCTTGACTTAAAATTACCAACTTACTTTTCCTTTTCTCTAATTAGAGCAATTTCTTTAAGGTATTCTCTTCACTTTCTCATCTTCATCCTTTAAATAGAAATGGGGCTTATTGCTATGGAGCATCTTTTCTTTTTTTTAAAAATTGATTTATTTTTAATAGTTTTCTCCAAGGTATTCTTCTAGGTCTCTTTTTTTTTTTTTTTAAGTAAGGAGGAGATTGCGTATCTTTGCTTGCTGCCTGAGCCAGATCGCTGAGTTTTCTTTCCTTTGCCATCTGCTTCTCTTTAAAAGCATATGCAGGAAGCGACAGAAATAAAGAAAAGCAGCCTCCTGACGTTCCTCGCTTGGTGGTTTGAGTGGACCTCCCAGGCCAGCACCGGGCCCCTCACAGGAGAGGAAGCCAGGGAGGCGGCCAAGCGGCAGGAAGGTGCGCCCCTCCAGCAGTCCACGCGCCGCGACAGGACGCCCTGCAAGAATTTCTTCTGGAAGACCTTCTCCTCCTGCAAATAAAACCCCACCCGTGATTACTAATGCAGGTGTAATGATGGACCCAAATAAAATGTATTAAGCAGCAGTGATCTTTCCTCTTCTTCCCATTTGAAAAGTATTTTTTATTTAAATTCCAGTAATGCCCAATACTGACATGTTCTGAGTAATTTGAAACCCAAAGTGAACATCTCTGAGAAAGATTTTTTTGTGGTTTTACTCGACTGTGCTTAGTGCAGCCACTGGGTTTTCCTTTTGACATTCGTTACGGTGCTGGGAAGCTCTGTCTTTGATTTAAGATAAAATAGCCAAAGACTACATAATTAAGAGTTCAGAATAACATCTTATTTCAGTTTATGAATTGATATGAATTGTCTTAATTTAAAAAACATTTCTCTCACATTAAAAGCAAATTTTTAACATCAGGCTCGAAGAGCAAAATGATTATTCCTCATATTGTAGCTGAAATTAATTTTAAAACAAATATTAAAATATGCTGACATGCCTATGAAAGTTATACTTGAATTTGCTGTTATGTACCATTTTAATTAGTAGCTTAATGGGTTGCAGTTCTTTTCATGGATTATAGCTTCACATTTGCTTTGGGAGGAATGAAGTCTACTTAACAGAAATGTTCTTTCAAACCAGACACGGTGGCAGTGAGCCCTGCGGCCGCTCAGCTGTTGCCTGCTTGCAGCAGCTTCTAGTACCAGGACCTCTCCCAGGTCTCTGTATCTGGATTTTGTTCAGTGACAGTCATATGAATTACATGTATAATTGTCACATTCGTGTCCCTATTCCTCAGTGTTCCCAGTGAATAATGGCAAAACGGGACAATTCCATTTCTGTGATGTAGCGTAGAGTAGCCATTGAGCCCCCACATGGACCAGGCTCTGGGTCTGCTCAGTGAAATTAGGGGTAAAGAAATCATGCAATTCTAAAAGCTTTCTCAAGTTTCATTTCTCCCCACAGCACCAAAATCCTTGCTTAACGACACATACTGTTTATGACTCTTAAATCACAGATTCTGAAGGAGACTTCCAGCATGAAGGTTTTTCTTTTTCTTTTTTGAGATGGAGTCTCCCTCTGTCATCTAGGCTGGAGTGCAGCAGCACAATCTTTGCTCACTGCAACATCTGCCTCCCAGGTTCATGTGATTGTCTTGCCTCAGTCTCCCGAGTAGCTGGGACTACAGGCACGCGCCACCACGCCCAGCTAATTTTTGTATTTTTTAGTAGAGACACGGTTTCACTATGTTGGCCAGGATGGTCTCGATCCCTTGACCTTGTGATGTGCCCATCTCAGCCTCCCAAAGTGCTGGGATTACAGGCATGAGCCACCGCGCCCAGCCTTCTGTTTTGTTTTGTTTTGTTTTGAGATGGAGTTTTGCCCTTGTTGCCCAGGCTGGAGTCCAATGCCGCTGTCTCTGCTCACTGCAACCTCCACAACCCAGGTTCAAGTGACTCTCCTGCCTCAGCCTCCCAAGTAGCTAGGACTACAGGTGTGCACCACCACACCCGGCTAACTTTTGTATTTTTAGTAGAGACAGAGAGATGTGGTTTCGCCATGTTGGCCAGGCTGGTCTTGAACTCCAGACATCAGGTGATTCACCAGCCTGGCCTCCAAAAATGCTGAGATTACAGGCGTGAGCCACTGTACCTGGCCAATTTTTCTATTTTTAATAGAGACCTGGTTTCGCTATATTGGCTAGGCTGGTCTTGAACTCCTGACCTCAGTCGATCCACCTGCCTCAGCCTCCCAAAGTGCTGGGATTAGAGGCGAGAGCCACTGCACCTGGCCATGAAGGTTTTTAGATGCTAAACTTGATTGGGAAAACCAGCAAAGGCTGGCTGGAGGACATGGGAATATTCTCTTCTTTGGACACCAGGGGAGCAGACTCCCTGAGAATGACTGCTGACCATTCCGTTCTGTTTTCTGCAGAGCTGAGCTCATATTCATAATTACTAGCTGAATAAAGTATAATGTGATGGAAGAGACTCAATAGTATCCACGTTTCCAAGCACAGCAGCTTTAGGAGACAGTAACTGGGTCAGTGCACTGGTGGAAGAAGCCTGCCTGGAAGGCCAGCTAACCTTCAGAACTTTGTCTTTTAAGATTTTTCAGCCGGGCACAATGGCTCACGCCTATAATCCCAGCACTTTGGGAGGATGAGACAGATGGATAATCTGAGGTCAGGAGTTCAAGACCAGCCTGACCAATATGATGAAACCCCGTCTCTACTAAAAAATACAAAAATTAGCTGGGTGTGGTGGCATGCGCCTGTAATGCCAGCTACTCGGGAGGCTGAGAAAGGAGAACTGCTTGAACCTGGGAGGCGGAGGTTGCAGTGAGCCAGCTGTTGCCATTGTACTCCAGCCTGGGCAACAAGAGCGAAACTGTCTGAAAAAAAAAATTTTTTTTTTTCCGGAAGAAAGCCATGCTCATTGTTTTTCAGTTTTTAAATTGGTGTCAGCCGAGCGTGGTGGTTCATGCCTGTAATCTCAGCACTGTGGGAGGCCAAAGCAGGTAGATCAATTGAGGCCTGGAGTTCAAGATCAGCCTGACCAACATGATGAAACCCTGTCTTTACTAAAAATACAAAAATTAGCCTGGCATGTTGGTGCATGCCTGTAATTCCAGCTACTTGGGAGGCTGAGGCAGGAGAATCACTTGAGCCTGGGAGGTGGAGGTTGCAGTGAGCCGAAATCACACCACTGCACTCCAGCCTGGGTGACAGAGTGAGATTCTGTCTCAAAAAATAATAAATAAATCGGCCAGGTACAGTGGCTCACGCCTGTAATCCCAGCACCTTGAGAGGCTGAGGCGGGTGGATCACCTGAGGTCAGGTGTTCACGACCAGTCCAACGTGGTGTAACCGTGTCTCTACTAAAAATACAAAAAATTAGCCAGGCATGGTGGTGCACACCTGTAATCCCAGCTACTTCAGAGGTGGAGGCACAAGAATTGCTTGAACCTGGGAGGTGGAGGTTGCAGTGAGCCGAGATCGTGCCACTTGCATTCAAGCAAGTGAGTGGAGTGAGACTTCGTCTCAAAAAAATTAAATAAATAAATAAATAAATAGGGGTCATCTATACACACTTTAAGACTGGGGATTTTACCTTTTAACGAAGTAGTTATATGTAGGATAATGAGGCTCTACTAGTGATACTGCCAGGAAATTCATCAAGTCTTAGCTTAGTTCAGGGGACTTAATACAACATTAACTGGCATCAGCTGCATGTTAGACCAGATGAATATGCTTGTAATTAATAAATCAGGATAAAATGGTAATTTCCCATCATCAGGTTTTTGGTGGATTTCTCTGTAGTTCAATGGAGTCAGGTAGGTAGATCTGGGTAATCAGGCCCTGGACAACTTCAAGTTCATTCTCTTGTTATTCTGTCCAGGATTTGGCACCAGAACAGCTCCTCAAGTGGTGAGGAGGAATGAAGGATGACAAGCACTCATAGTATTCGTATTTCAGGGCTGACAGCAAAGGATTCCAGGCTTTGGGAAACTTAGACTGGGAAGCTCAGGGGAGATACTTACCTGGATTTAAGCAGCACCTGTTGAAGAGGCAGTCCATCTTAAAAACAGTAGCATCTTCAGTAGAGAGATAGGTTTCACTTGGAATGTATTAGGCTGTTCCTGTGTTGCTACAGACAAATACCTGAGACCGTGACTCATGGTTCCATAGGCTGTACAGAGGGATGGCACCAAGCATCTGCTCAGTTCTGGTAAGGCCTCAGGAAGCTTCCAATCAATACAGAAAGCCAAGTAGGACCCGGTATTCACACAGTGAGAGCAAGAGCAAGAGAGAGACTTGGGCTGGGCAGGGGATGCTGCACACTTTTAAACAACTGCATTTTGGAGAAGGTACTACTTTCAGGAGCAGCACCAACCCATGAGGGATCAGCCCCCATGACCCAAGGTCCAGATCACATACAAGGTCCTTAAAAACCTCCCACTAGGCCTCACCTCCACCCACCTCCAGCACTGGGAATTACATTTCTTTTTTTTTTCTTGAGATGGAGTCTTACTCTTTTCACCCAGGCTGGAGTGCTGTGGTTCAATCTCAGCTCACTGCAACCTCTGCCTCCCGGGTTCAAGCGATTGTCCTGACTCAGCCTCCCCAGTAGCTGGGAACACAGCTACAGGGATGAGCCACTGTGGTACCAACACAGGCCTATTTCTAACTTTCTATAATGCTAGTAAAAACAGTAATTTCTCTTTCCCATTTTGCATTTGTAGTTAAAAAACCTGTTTATCTTATTAAAATAATAACAGTCTGGAGGAAAAGCTAGGATTTTGGGGGTGATAGTTCCTATAACATGATACTGAAAAACACAGTCGGGTGTGGTGGCTCATGCCTGTAATCCAAGCACTTTGGGAGGCCAAGGCTGGCGGATCACCTGAGGTCAGAAGTTTTGAGACCAGCCTGGCCAACATGGTGAAACCCCGTCTCTGCTAAAAATACAAAAAAATTAGCTGGGCGTGGTGGTGCGCGCCTGTGGTCCCAGCTACTCGGGAGGCTGAGGCAGGAGAATTGCTTGAACTCGGGAGGCGGAGGTTGCAGCGAGCCAAGGTCGCGCCACTGCGCTCCAGCCTGGTGCCTGGTGACAGAGTGAGACTCTGTCTCAAAAAAAAAAATAGCACTCGAAGCCGGGCGCAGTGGCTCACGCCTATAATCCCGGCACTTTGGGAGGCTGAGGCGGGCGGATCACCTGAGGTCAGGAGTTTGAGACCAGCCTGACCAACATGGTGAAACCCTGTCTCTACTAAAAATACAAAACAGGTGTGGTGGCTCACGCCTGTAATCCAGCACTTTGGGAGGCTGAGGTGGGTGAATCACGAGGTCAGGAGTTTGAGACCAGCCTGCCCAATATGGTGAAATCCCATCTCTACTAAAAGTACAAAAATTAGCCGGGCGTGGTGGTGGACACCTATAGTCCCAGCTACTCAGGAGGCTGGGGTAGGAGAATTGCTTGAGCCTGGGAGGCAGAGGTTGTGGTGAACCAAGATCACATCACTTGCACTCCAGCCTGTGCGACAGAGCGAGACTGTCAAAAACAAAACAAAACAAAACTGCAAGGTGTGGCCAGGCACGGTGGCTCAAGCCTGTAATTGCAGCAATCTGGGAGGCTGAGGCAGATGGATCACCTGAGGTCAGGGGTTCGAAGCCAGCTGGCCAATATGGTGAAACCCTGTCTCTACTAAAAATACAAAAAATTAGCCGGGCTTGATGGCGCACACCTGTAACCCCAGTTACTTGGGAGGCTAAGGCAGGAGAATTGCTTGAACGTGGGAGGCAGAGGTT